AGGTATGCCAAGAGATTATTTTTGACGCGTAGCTGATATCAGATCATAGGGTGCTTTTTTTATGCGGGGTATTCTATAGTTACTCCAAAACCGTTTGCGAACTGATATCGAGACGTTTGCGAATTGACGTCGAGACGCTTGCGAAAGTTTGCGAAGTGACACGTTTGCGAGATGACCGGYTAGTCCCTCGGGGTATTTGAGGCGTTCATCAAAGAATGACTCCGAAACGTCGGATATTAACGTTAATTTTTTATTCTAAATGCTTTCTCTAAATCGTAGGAATATAGTTAAGGTGAAGTACCCTTACTATAAGTCTAAAACGTACACAATAAACGGTAAGCTTAACTTGAGTTAGGAGAAATTCAGTCATAATAAAATGTCGACCGGRAAAGCGATATCCAGTTAAGAAAGTGAGCAGAGTGCATACGACAAATAAAAAGACCGATTTCTGTACTGTTTCGCCAAGAAAACCATTAAGACATATTAATCTTACCTCGTAATTTTCAAATGCAGCCTTCAACGCGAYTCCTCACAACTCAGTCAAACGCGCGTAAAGTAAAAGATCTAGTACGCATGACAYAGCAGAACCGCCACCAGGTCAACAATAACGCGGTCTCGAAAGCATCATAGTAYATTCTGGGCTTCCTGTGTTTGGAGCGAGGATATGGCAATGGCGATCATCGAGTGGSTACCAATGACAGTATTTGTTTTTGTATATGTTTTTACAATAAGAGCAATCTATAAAGTCCTATCCAAATTATCAGGCAAGGTAAGTGATACAGCTGTATTTCGCTGAAATCTTACGTCGCACTGTCAATTAATCAATCAATTTATTTCATATTACTTGAWATATTCAATTATTTCAGTGCTATATTGAAAGTATAAAAGTTGAACATTTACAGCATCAGGATTAGTTTTTTTATGAGCGCACATAATCTTAAAGGAATATGGTCCACCAGCAGCCCTTTCTAATGCTCTCCTCACATTTCAGACATAAATTAGACAGATTTTTAATTATTATTTTAATAGTATAAATATGTAAATTATGTGAAATGTGAAATAAACATTGATTGATTGATTGATTTCGAGCTTTTGTTTATGTTTGAAAATACAAATACATCGTAATATAAGCAAAAACTTACTCTTTATCGTTCCTTTATCCTATATGAATGGAGATGCTTTAAGATTCGACCGTTAAACCGATGGATGGAAACGGATTGCAAATGGATATTCAAAATCACCTCATTTTCCATATATGAAAAATCTAAAACACGACCACATTGCATGCTATTGGACCATGTCCCTTTAAACTATTAAACCTAATCTAATAAAGTCTCAAGAAATGGCCTACATGATGCCAATAAGGTCCTATCATCACTGTCACTATCACTGTCACTGTTATCATTGCCTCTATCACTGTCACTGTCACTGTCACTATCACTGTCACTGTCACTGTCACTGTCACTGTTATCATTGCCTCTATCACTGTTGTTATCATTGCTATCATCACTGTTATCATTCCAGCTACCACCACTCTTGTCAACATTGCCACCATTACCATTGTCAACACTGTCAGCATCACTGTTGTCATCATTGCAGACGCTTGATCAGAACTTCGGCACCAGAATCTAGCATTTTGCAGTCTGGCTTTGTCAGGTTTAGTAGAAATCGGTGACATAGTGATCAAACAGATATTGATGACAATGGCAATGAAAGTGACGTTTCAAACATGAGTGAAGAGTATGTAGCAACTATATTTTTTAAAGAATACTAATAAGGGTGACCTTTATCAGATATAAAGGTCCATGACCCTACCAAAGGTCTTAGGTTTGATACCTGATCATTGACCAATGCAGGATGTCAACTGATTGCAATAACGGCCAACGGTGGTTCTATTTTACTTTATGCATATTCAATGTGTGACAAGAGTGCTTTATAAAGTAATTCACGCATGATCAGTTTGCCCCATTTACTTCAAAACTTATTTTTACAGCAATTTCTCCAAGAAGATTTGAGTTTTAAATTAGTGTTGGAGTTTTTGAAGTCGTTTAAAACACTCGAGATCATGTTTTATCAGGTATAGATTCTTGCTGTCAGCTCTAATCTTTATACCTGATAAAGCACTCTCTCATGTTTTAAACTATACATCAAAATATTAAATAACTGTTGAAAATTAATAGAAATGATTCTTATTAGTGATGCTTATCATAGATTTAATGTWTAATTTTCAGATATGCAATCAATATTGTCAATGGAGTCCAGAAGAGCAAGCATTRATTGAAGAACAGAAATGTCTCATTGTGGACCAGCAGCAAATTAATCCACAGGTAAATCATCCTTGACCATCAACCTGCTTGCCATTATTCATAGTTCATCATGTCCCTTTGCAAATGGGAAACTACATGTAGCAGTGCCCAAAAAATAAAAAATCATCAGCATGTAATAATAGTTGCATATATTAAAGATAAGTACCAAAATGTATCTTTAGTATCTGCAAAGACATCACTTGCAAGATAAGGTTTTTGATTTTTTGATTCTGGAAAAGTTCATGCTGCARGGTGGAATTCAGTGTGTSTTATTGTGGAAATATACTGCCAGGGTTCCAATATTTGAAAAAAATTGTTATCAATAATAATTAAATGAAATGTGTTGTTTTCATAGGATGAGTTTCCCAAGTATGCACGGTTACAAAGAAAGATTGATGGTATAAAGGAAAAGATTAAAAATTATGGTAGGTATAGAAATCATGCAGTGATGACTCCAGCATGACGTGGAGCAAATGTGTCATTGTGTTGGTCTCATATTATCACATTACAGTAGATTCAAGAATGGTCATCAATTTTTCAATTATTCCAGTTATCCAAACATCACAGGAAGCCCAATATTTGATGTGGTGTAAATTAAATATGAGCATTTGAGAATATCCTCAATAAAGCCACTATTTCCATGACAAAAGAAAGTACATGTACAGCTAAAGTGCATATGATAAGCTTTAGCTTAATTTTTTCATTAATGTTGTTGCTCCTCAAAGTTTCACTTATTTATAGTAAAGTATGAGTTGTGGTATTATGAATGACAATGATACATGCTTGTGTGTTTATATCCATTTGATCTAGACAAAAATGAMATTTTTTCATACATTCTTTACTAAAATGAGAGTTTATAGATGTGCTATTTATTATTTTTAGAATCCACAAGAAAGGAAAGTATGGGGAGATATAAAATGCTGTCAAAGATAGGGGTGCTGGTGTTTGTTGTATGTATTTAACATGATAGTCTTCACATTATTATTTTCTTCATAGAAGCAACTTCAGTTGTACTTGAATTTAATCAATTCACTGTGCAGTCAAGCTTATAGCATCCTTTACAATGTTTTTATGAAGGTGATATGATTGTTTTGTCTGTATGGGTCTGTATATKACCCTCCTGGCAGGATATCACTAACAGCAGGTTTAAATAAACTTTACACAGATAGGAATCCATTTATCCTTCCTGGTAACATTCAGAAAAGAGCCTGTCATTGTCTTACCGCAACATTGGTTCTTTCCTTTCCAAAAAGTTCTTTCCTTTCCAACTGCCATACCAGGTTAGTTGTTTAAAAGTTATTACAATATTGTTAAGAACCCATTTTGCTATTATTATTTTAATTACATACCTATTTGCTTAATACTTAGTTTGTTTGTTGTTGTTTTTTTAGTTTTAGTGGGGTTTTTTTTGTTTTTGTTTTTTTTTTTTTTGCTTAGAAATTACAAATGATATTACAATCATAACATAGCTGGTGTCACGTATTGAAGAAATTTTAACTTATTATATGGTTTCACCATATTTTGTAACAATTTTCAACTTTCAAAGTATTTATAAAGTTATCAGTGACTTTGAATTTGTGATTAGAAATTGTAGTGATTGTGTATTGCCATCTTTCATACTGAATGTTACACCATTTTGGGTCATTATTGTCTCATTTGCATTACATTTGCAGTACTTCATTTTACAGTTCCATAGCTTCATTTGAAAGGTATCCATGCTTGATCATCCAAACATGAGTTGAGCCCATGCACCTTTTATTAACATCTAAGACAATTATTAACAGGTATTACTTCAAAATCAACTCACTTCTCATTTTAATGCAAAGGCTTAACTTTGGAGATGGCACTGGGAACTGGAAAATGAAGTATCCAGCACATGATAWTCAGCATGAAATGGCTGTCTCATTAAGAATAATTTTCATTCTTGTTTCAGGTGCACTCGGTCTTCCTTGCTGGATGGTCACATGTAACAAACTGATAGAAAGATTTATTATTTAAATGATCATCTGCTTGTCAATGCTCCGAYGAAGATGTCTAAACACATGTGCCATAAAAGACTTTTTAAACTTATTATTGATTACAAAGCAACAACTGCTAAAAAATGCAGTCCCAAGTAAATTTTCTTTACACTTGCATGAAAATATGTCTCACAACCTCGTCATCACAGAAGTATTATATTTACATTTCAGTAGTAGTCTTAATTCAATATAATTTTTTGGGAAAATTTTTCCTGCAGTCTTTCACCCCCTGGATCTATTCTTGTGGGAGAATAAATTGAAAAAAATTTAAATACATTGCAGCTTCAAAATCATCCAGTGATGAAATGTGAGGAAATATTTATAGATGTACGCACATCATTTATTACTTTTTKGGAGATTTCTTTGACAAGTTGATCCATGTACAAAAAACTTGATAAGTTTACTTTAAGTAGGTTCTTTTCTTTAAACATTGCATTAAAAATTGTTAAATTAGCCAGATATGTTACATGTTACTGTATCCGTTGTTACATGACCTTTCAGGTCAAATTTATTTAAATCTTATGGAATTTTGCATATTTTGAACAATGCGTGATGTCGGGCATTGAAAAAAATATTCTACGCCATCATATGTTCTTTCATATATAATCATAATTTTTCAAAAATAGCTCTAAGAGCATCTAGTTTAACTCTTGCTTCGATAATGGTGTTTATTTCTAAGAAATACTTCCATAGGTAAAGGTTATGGTCTTGAAAGTTTCAAAATGAGATGGAAATAATTGAAAAGCTTGCACTGCCTAGCCCAGAACTGGTCCTTGCTAGGAAGGCACACTGTTAAAGTGAAGAACATTTTCAGAAAGTCACAATACTGTAAATGTCTGCAATTAAGAACCTTATTTTTTTCAAGTATGGTGCAAATGGTTCTTATTTAAAAAATGTCAGAAAAAATATCCCTCCTGGTCTGTGGTCCCTGAACAACACACAGTCAACTCTACACTTGCAGACAGCTCTAATTTTCAACAGCTTAATTCTTACAACCCTCTTGTTTTTCCATACACACACTCATGCACACTTTTTCAGGAAGACAGGGCTACCCTCAGGCACTATTTCTATTTCCCAAGGTATCCACTTATACAGGAGATTCAACTTTACCTGTCCTGCCAATTTTTGATTTTCTCAACTTCGCGAGCTGTATGTGCTAAATAAAAGTCACACCACGGTTGTGAGTTTTCTTTAAGATGTTATCTTTCTTTTTTAGATATACACAACCAGTCAGAAAGCAGGATTAAACTTAAGTTTTTTACTCAATTTAGTTTTGTTCATACCATGAACACCATTGTTATTTCGTTTGTTATGAGTTACATTCTTGAGAATGTGTTGACACCASCTGTGGTAAATAAAAGGACATAGCAACAAGAAACTAGTATCTACATGTAGCATGCTTTGCAGACTATTAATGTTTCATACTCAACAATCTTGYTGCAAGCAATAGTCTGAAAAGCAGGCTATTTGATACAAATTGTTTCATGTATATTACAATTCACCTACACAAAATTATAATTAAGAATATAATTAGATCATCAATGTGAATTATGTTTATTGTTTTATGCATTTTGATGTGAGGTCTATATCATACAGTACAACTTTGCACATTAGTTTAATTTAATATACAATATGAGCCTTTGGTACACAAAATTATTTAATAAACAGTTATTATAAAGTTAATTCTCAATAGATATAAATATATATATATATAATCAACACATAAACAGCATTTCTGTTCTTTTTTTGTCCAAAAAATATTARAGTGTGACCTCTTCAATGTCATCTTCTAAAGTCCCATTTAAAATGTTTCCAACTGCTGGAATTTGTTGCTTAGGGCCATGATTGAAGCCCTGGTTCAGCTTGGGTCTCCTTGGCAACAGACTCTCGTCATCTATGTCATTAGAAGCACTGACTTTTGTCTCCCAAGGATAATTCTTGTCCTTTGGTTTATTGGAAGATCTATTAAATGAATCATCATCAAATATTGAAGTTTGTTTTGGTTTGTTGTTATCAAACAAATCCTCTCCAAATATGGAATTAGGTTGGCTTGGTTTCTTCCTACGTCCATCACTCCTCYTTGAGGAAAAATCAAGGGCTCCAGCACTATCATTGTCTTTAGATGGCACAGTACTGGATTTTGAATTTCCACTAAAGGTTGGTTGGTAAGACCCAAATACAACATCATCTGATTTGTCTTGTTTGTTTTCCTGTCTCTTACCAAAGTGCAATCCACTGCTTTTTCTGTTTGATGGTTCACCAAAGGATGGATTGTAAGACCCAAAAGTTTCTGTTTTGCTATTTGCCTCTTTGCGCTGTCCAACACTTGGCTTATAAGAACCAAATGCCAYATCATCATCCTGACTGTTACGTCTGCCCCTAAAATGYTGATCTGAGGGATGTGCTGGCAGTCCATGATGCAAGTTTTGAAAGCTCTCTTTGACATCATATGAGGAATCCTTGCTATGTTTAGAATGAATTGATGTGCTGGATCCAAATTTTTGCTTTTCTTTCTCAGTAAAWATTGTAGGTTCATTACTTGGCTCTTTTGTTGTGGTGTGTTTTTCTGAGCTTTGGAGGAAAATTGGCAACTTTTTGGGCTTGTTATCTTGAGCCTTAGGGTTGATGTCCATACTAATAATACCATTTGGTTTCTCCTGTCCAGCATCAATTGCTTTCATTCGAGCAAGCAAAAGATCTTTCTTTCTCCGTATTTCTTCATCCTCTTTGAACTTCAAATGTGCTTCTTCCTCCTTAGCTTTCYGTAGTCTTTCCTCTTCCTCCCTCTTCTTTCTCTCAATCTCTATCAGTTCTTGTTGTTCTTTTTTTCTTTTCTCTTCCTCCAACTGCCTGATTTTATCTTTCAAAGCTTCCTCTTCTCTTATACGTTTCTGTTCTTCTTCATGTTTTCTTGCTTCCTCTTCTTTTCTCTTTTCTTCTTCTTGTTTCCTTTTTCTTTCCTCTCTTTCCAATTTCTCCTTCAATTGTTCTGCCTGCTGTTTTTCATACTCAAGGTTTTTGTCAACAATGGAGAGACTTTCTTTCTTTCCTTTTTCAGATGAAACTTCAAATAAACTTTTTTCTTCACTTTTTAAAKGTTCTGCACTGATATTTGAGCCTGTATCACTGACACCATTAGTCAAAAATACATTTGTTCTCTTTTTCTGGTCCGTTAATATGATATCAGTATTAGTATTAACATCTTCATAAGCAGGTGGGAGAGCTAGTGGATTGACTTTCTTCAACTTTCGCTGAATATTCTGGTGGTAAATATTTGTCATGTCCAACTGCTTCTCCTTTTCCTGTGAAAGAAATAAATGCAAGAAGGTTTGGAATTGCGAATCCAATTATCTTTAAATAACTGAAAGTGACATTTTGACTGTGAAATGCAATTGGGCATAAACATTTTAAATCAGAGGATGCAACTGATGCGAAGCATGAGCCAACAAACACGATACAAGTTTAATTTTTGTGGCCAAAAATTATCAATTTGGAAAAGTAAATATTAAAGAAAGAATGGCTAACCTTTAATTTCTCTCTGAGAGACAGGACATTTTCCTGGACTTGTACAAGTTCATCTTTAGCTTTTTTGTAGCGATCTTGATGCTCCTTGATTTCCCTCTGTCTAGCCTTCTCTGACAATTTGATTGTCTTTTGTAGTTCCTACAAAATACAGTGCAAATTAATTTACTTTTGTTATACACCTTATAGAGACATAACATAACATAACAGCAGATATATCACGACAACACCAAAAACACATTCCAAAGTCACTGAACTGAACTTCATCTAATTTTTCTCATACTTTCCAATATATAAATTCTTTTTATTGAAAATCAATCAAGGGCAAGGAGAAGGAACAGGTAAACCAATCAGATTTCTTTTTAGAGCTGTAGTCATATTCTTCTCCATTCATTGATTTTTGCATAAAAATAAGGACCCTTGTTCCTGGCCATTTACTTTGCTCATTGCTAAAAATGAGCCTTATATATTTTTCTTCTTCTCCATCTCAGCTTACTTCACAGGTGAAAATGCTTGTATGATTTATGTTGAGAACACCAGACCTAACTGCAGCAGTTATTATAATAAATCACTTATGTAAAGATATTCACTCTATTGTTGTATGAGTCTGAAGAAATTTAATTCATTACTTTTATGAAAATAGTTTTAAATATAAAGATGTGGAACTTACCAGTATCTTGGTATCCCTTTCAGATAATGCTTTTTCAACTTTTTCAAGTTTTTTGGCCAAGGTTGCTCTTTCTTCCAATTTTTTGTTATTATCCAGTTGCTTAAAATGCTGAAGTTTATCCCTTAATTTAGTCAGTTCAACATCATGACTATGTGATTCTTTTTCTTTTTGTATTATTTCTTGTTTATTTTTCTTTAATCTTTGACGGTAAGTTCGCAGTTCAGCACTATGACGCTGCAAAAGCTGAGGTAAACTTCCTTCCTCTCTATCAACTCGTTTAAGTTCTCTTTCTTGTTTAACACTGATTCTCTTTAGAGTTCTATTCTCTTGACGAAGAGTATCCACTTCTTGTTGAAGTTCTTCTACAACATTGTACAGTTTGGTTATTTTGTTTCTGTTTGCAGACAATATTTTTTTGACCATGGTGGAATTGTCATCAGTTTTAGGAGGTCTTGTACTTGCTGATAGACTCTTTTTGGCTTTCTTTGGCTTGTTAATAGCTGTTCAGAAACAAATATATTTATGAATAAAAAATACRCAATATATAATACTGTTAAAAAAAACAAGGAAGCATCACTTTTCCAATGTTTTAGATGGCTTAAAAATAGGTCAAGGAACAAATTAATAAGATTATCTTTAGTAGACAATCTTACTTTAAAATGTTTGCAACACTAGAAGACAGGAACAGCAATGTCAACAAAGAAATAAGAGAAGCAGTACAGATTAGAAGGAATACCAAACTAAATAACAACAAGGATAATTACATGTCTGATTGAGTTGGTTTTCTTTGTTTGTTTGTTTGTTGTTGTTTTTGTTTGTTTGTTTTGTTTTTGTTTTTTTTTTTTAAGGGTTTTATCTCTCATTCCACCCTGGTTATTATATTATATTCAAGTGCTTTATAATACAGATATTGCCCTTGTCCAATACTTCCCTTGGTCATTTTAATTTGTAGGTTAGACTAAATTTTCTACTGACCCCCAAAATCATGTACTACAGTAAGTTGTAAATTTTAGTGAAAAATGTCTTTTGATAATACCCTGTAGGATTTGGACCCAAAACCTTCTACACAGAAATACCATCTTATACCACTATGCTACTAATAGATAACCAATAGGAACTGACCAACAAAAAGTCTTTTTTTCTGTTGTAGTTGAGATGTGTTAATTTACTGTGTTTTAAGATTTGTGTTTGGGAAAAGTTCCAAGGGTAACTGCCTTAATATTTATAAAATTTGAACACAAGCAAGAGTGTCTTAATGCCAAATCAGTCTCAATGAAAGTAAATATTCCAGATTTGTGATTTTATCACTTAATAGACTTTGTATGKGATTCAGTCTCATGGTTATATTTTTGTGACTCTTAGAACTATGGAATGTTCCTTTTTAAAGTAATCTGCAGGAATTTCTGCAAGATGTTAGTATATTTTTTAAAGAATTGGGAAATGACTTTTAGTGGGAAATTGACATCACACTGATTTTTGTGGAAGTTCACATGATAGTTTTGATTTCAGCCCAGAAAGCAGCTTTCTATAAGATGTTTTACTACTTTATTGCTACCACAGCTGTCCGTTAATGGTGTAGATTCATTACTGTGTTATAAACTCCTTTGAATTATAATTATAATATATATTTTATTTTTATATTTATAATTCTTAATTGAAATATCTAGCAATGTGAGAACTTTGGCTCCTTAGTAATTGTCATACTAGCCTTGACTCAGGCCCCTATGATAGTTCGCGACCATTTCAGAATTATTGAAAAATTCATAACTTTAACGTTTCACAAAAATGAGCTTTTACCAGATTTCCATGACGACAACAAACAATATTCTAATTTTCCGTGTTGGTTTCCTCATCTTTGGAAAAAAAGGGTTCATTTGAACTTCAAACTTCAAAGAGTAATTAGTAACACTAGTCTCATATATGTACTTAGTTAATTCCATTGTATGTACATGTTYATAAATCTTTAAAGACTGTAATACTAATATAAACAAAGGGAAGTTTTAGAATCTTGTATCTAGGGGCAACAGACTGTTGAAACATTATTATTTTTGCCAAAATAAAAAATAAAAACTACATTATTCTATCCTTTTAGTTTAAATTTATTTTTCRATAATAAACATTTGTAATGATAACTTGACATTTATCCAGAAGAGGTACTAGCAACAGAGAAATTTTAATTTTTAACATATAAGCTTCAACCTTAGTAGATTTTTACTGCTAAAGTRTACATAATTGTCGTGAAAAATATATCCCTAGAGAGTTATAATTAGTGATAYAAATGTCTATTATCAATCACAAAACGATGAACTGAGACTGTTTATTCTTCAAAACAAGTATTTAAGCTTAATAATAATTCAGACAGCCAAAAGAAACAACAAAGTTCAATATTTTTTGACAAGACAACAAATTACCTCTACTTGGTCCGTAAGCACTTCTATAAGAAACTAGAGAGTTTCGTCTTGAACTAGCATTTCTATTTCGCCTAGTGGTAGGAGGAGAGGGTGAATACGAATAATCCGAGTGATGTTGTGAAACAATCGAAGATTGTCGATGTCGAGTCACTCTTGAGCCGGGATTCCTGACAGGACTATCGTCCTCAAAATCATCGTCATAACTATCATAACCATCCGAGTATTTAGATGCCATTKTGACAGCGTTATCGTAASACAATTCCTTTGATTTATTAAATGTAGAGGCCGGTTTCTTCGAAGTAGAGSTAGTAATCACGCCGCTTTCATCCAATGTAAATTGAAGATCATCTTTGCTTTGATCCAAGGCGATTGGAGCTTTGTGAACTTCTATGGACATAACAGGACCTTAGAAAAATGACTCGAAATGATCGAAAGGAAAATTTATAGCACAACACCCGCCAAAAAGAAAAGAAAACTACACTGTTCTCATGGCGGCCTTCGTCCAATGTTTGTGAATGATGTTTGTGACGTCACGTTGTCAAAAAACACCTGACGGATACCATAGTAACAAAAAAACACGGAACCGCTGAACAGGAACAAATGAAAAGAAAAGAAAAGAAAAGAAAAGCAAGCTGATCAAGAAAACGAAGGAAATCAACCCTAGAACGCTGATCTCACTTACAAACGCACACGACGTTCGTTGTAGGCCCACACTAAAAGATGTTAAGGAACCGGTTATAATCTGTCAGGTCAGACATGTAGTCTGCTACTGTACTGGTAACATTGTAACCCAGTACAACCTGCCTCGTGCACGGGTCGTCGGCGTCTAAACCGGCACCCCCACTCCAGTCAACACTGGTGAGGAGGGTGGCATGACACCCAGCACGACTAAATACAAGACCTGTCAAAGCGCGAATGAGCTTGGTTAAGCCACCAGGCATCATGCAAAAAACATTTGACTTGTTTATTGTGATGTAATCTGGTTGTTGTGCTTTTTTAGTTTGAGATCTTGGGACGGACTGTGCAGCGGCAGCCAGAGGCGCCAACTCAAGCTCACAGCCTACCAAGACTC